CTAGAACAATCTCTTCCAGAGGTCCAGCGGGGTCCCGGCCCTTTCAGAGGCTTTTGCACAGTGCTGCTGAGTCACCTTGAGGCAACAGCTACTCTGGTGACCAAGCCCACGCGTTGGCAGCCCAGCAGCTCAGTGATGACCCGCGGTTCCGGAGCCCAGCAGCTCAGCGATGACCCACGGTTCTGGAGCAGAGCAAGGGTTGACACTTTTCCCTGGAGGAGCTGGGGCAGCTGGAGTCTGGGTTGTTCATGGTAGCTTTCGTGCCTGTAGGACTTTCTCTGGGCTATTTCTCCCCTCTCTCCATGGGCACTTCCCCCTGAGGTTGATGGGGCAAATCCCAAGAGCAGGGACTTAGGAGAGCTCTGGGAGAGAGGGCTTGGAGTCAGCCTGGTGGGGTCCTCTGCCCCCATCTTCTGGGGACTGCTTCTTTGGCTACCTGCCTCCGCCATCTTCCTGGGCATGAATCCATGTGACTCAACGTCCAAGGCACTGCTTGCTCTGGGCAGTGATCTTCACACTTTATTCTCAAATAGACAAAACGTTTTCAAAAACTGTCTGTCCCCTCTCACATTTTAAAGTTGATATCTAGGGGCGTGTGGGCGGCTCTGTCAGTTAGGTGTCTGCCTTCGGCTTCAGGTCATGATACGGGGGTGGCTCCTTGCTCAGCGGGGAGTCTGTTTCTCCCTCTCACTCTCCCTCTGTGCCCTCTCTCTCTCTCAATAAATAAAAAAATCTTAAAAAAATAATAAAATTAATATCTAAAATATTTAATCTCAAATTTAAATAGTGCAAAAGATACGATTTCTGGCCATAAATACTAACATTTAAAAACTGTTATATCAGGCTTTTATTTTTTTTATTTTTTTTATTTTTTATTTATTTTTTTTAAATTTTATTTATTTATTTGAGAGAGAGAGAGAGAGAGAGAATGAGAGATAGAGAGCACGAGAGGGAAGAGGGTCAGAGGGAGAAGCAGACTCCCCACTGAGCGGGGAGCCCGATGCGGGACTCGATCCAGGGACTCCAGGATCATGACCTGAGCCGAAGGCAGTCGCTTAACCAACTGAGCCACCCAGGCGCCCAGGCTTTTATTTTTTTTAAAGATTTTATTTTTTTTAAATTTTATTTATTTATTTCACAGAGAGAGCAAGCACAAGCAGGGGGAGTGGCAGGCAGAGGGAGAAGCAGGCTTCCTACAGAGCGGAGGGAGCCAGATGTGGGACTTGATCCCAGGACCCCGGGATTGTGACCTGAGCGGAAGGTAGTCGCTTAACCAACTGAGCCACCCAGGTGCCCCTATATCAGGTTTTTTTTTTTTTTAAGATTTTATTTATTTATTTGACAGAGACACAGCGAGAGAGGGAACACAAGCAGGGGGAGTGGGAGGGGGAGAAGCAGGCTTCCCGCAGAGCAGGGAGCCCAGTGTGGGGCTTGATCCTGGGATCATGACCTGAGCTGAAGGCAGACGCTTAATAACTGAGCGACCCAGGCGCCCCTATGTCAGGCTTTTAAATGTATCAAGTAGAATCTAGATTTCAGAGCAATTTGATATTTATAATCATCCACTAAAAATGTGCAAAACAGTTCTTTAACAGTTGGAAGTTTTAAAATGTCATTTTTCTTCTAGTACTCATATTGTCATTCTATTTTTCTCATAGAATTATATACTGCTGTATTTTATGCTTTATCTGGAACAAAAATGTGTACAAAAACTGACTCTATTTTAAATGTTATTTCCTGGGGCGTCTGGGTGGCTCAGATGGTTAAGCGTCTGCCTTCGGCTCAGGTCATGATCCCAGGGTCCTGGAATCGAGTCCCGCATCAGGCTCCCTGCTCCTTGGGAGCCTGCTTCTCTCTCTGCCTCTCTCTGTCTCTCATGAATAAATAAATAAAAAGTTAAAAAAATAAAATAAAATGTTATTTCCTGGGTGCCTGGGTGGCTTAGTTGGTTGGGCGACTGCCTTCGGCTCAGGTCATGATCCTGGAGTCCCGGGATCGAGTCCCACATCGGGCTCCCTGCTCAGCAGGGAGTCTGCTTCTCCCTCTGACCCTCTTCCCTCTCGTGCTCTCTATCTCTCATTCTCTTTCACTCAAATAAATAAGTAAAATCTTTGAAAAAAAATGTTATTTCCTGTGACCACAGGGCTCTAAATGTTGTTTCATCTTTTATTTTTTTTTTAAAGATTTTATTTATTTATTTGAGAGAGAGAGAATGAGAGATAGAGAGCAAGAGAGGGAAGAGGGTCAGAGGGAGAAGCAGACTCCCTGCCAAGCAGGGAGCCCAATGCGGGACTCGATCCCGGGACTCCAGGATCATGACCTGAGCCGACGGCAGTCACTTAACCAACTGAGCCACCCAGGCGCCCTGTTTCATCTTTTATCATCATTACAATATCCTTGGTCCACAATTGATCAAAACATTATTTTGAATTTTATATTATTTTATATTATTTTAATATAAATTATATATTATAAATTATATTTTGTATTATTTATTTTAAATATTAATAACTATTGAACACGAAAAGTAAGATTTTATTGGAAAGATAGCTCTTAATGACCATTGGTGGGGTTGAATTTTTCCAAGTAATTATGTCTGTGGATGAATATTCCTCATTGCTAGTATGAGACTGGAATCAACATTAATTCTCTTCCTATTTTTCATTTTTATAGACAAGCTCTGAGGAACGTAATTTGCATAAATTAGATGGGGAAAGAAAAATTTCATTATAGGAATGTCAGCCAATTCTCTGAATACCTCTGTGTTATATGATTAAAAACTATATAATGATCTATCATCAAAAATTGTTTTTAGGGTGCTTGGGTGGCTGAGTCAGTTAAGCGTCTGCCTTTGGCTCAGGTCATGATCTCAGGGTCCTGGGATGGAGCCCCGCATCGGGCTCCCTGCTCCATGAGAAGCCTGCTTCTCCCTCTCCCTATCTCTCTCTCTCTCAAGTAAATCAATAAAATCTTAAAAAATATATATTTTCGATGATCTATTAGCTGGCAACTTAATTAGGTCTTTCTTCAGTTTTGTTGAAAGCAAAGACTTGGGAACAACTCAACCTGTTAAGGATTTGTTATCCAGCCATAAGTGTCGTTAGGGTCTTAGATTCTGGGATCATACTAACAAAGCTTTGTGAAGATTTATCAAATGATTATCAATTATATCTGCTATTTTTTCACTTAGAGACACCTTGTTTAAATTGATATACTCACAAAGGATTCAGAAAGTAAAAGTTAATTTTTTTTAAGATTTTATTTATTTATTTAATTGATAGAGAGAGACAGACACACACACAGCGAGAGAGGGAACACAAACAGGGGGAGTGGGAGAGGGAGAAGCAGGTTTCCCGCCGAGTGGGGAACCCGATGTGGGGCTCGATCCCAGGACCCTGGGATCATGACCTGAGCCGAAGGCAGTCGCTTAACCAACTGAGCCACCCAGGTGCCCCCAAAATGTTAATTTCAATACACTTTTGCTAAGACAATTTTTAAAAATCAAGTCCTTCTACCTTATCATATACTTGAAAATATATTTTCATTAACATCTGGAAGCTGCAGACTTAATTATGAAAAACATCTGTGACATTCTTATTGGCAAAGCCAGTCCTCATTGTTAAATAATCAGCCAAATAAAATTACTTCCTATCAGAGAAGGTTTCTCATTTTTCAATCCAAGTAATCATGTTAATACAGGGGCGCCTGGGTGGCTCAGTCGTTAAGCGTCTGCCTTTGGCTCAGGTCATGATCCCAGGGTCCTGGGATTGAGCCCCGCATGGGGCTCCCTGCTCAGCGGGAAGCCTGCTTCTCCCTCTCCCACTTCCCCTGCTTGTGTTCCCTCTCTCACTGTGTCTCTCTCCGTCAAATAAATAAATAAAATCTTAAAAAAAAATCATGTTAATACATGTCCTATGACAATCATCTTGCTTCTGAATTTTAAGAAATATAGATAGATAAGACATAGAACCTTCCTCTCCAAGACAAATGACATAAAGATTTTCACTATTTCTCACTAATGCTCTTTTTACTTTATTCTCATGGATCTCTCCTTCACATATGATGTAATTTTTGACAACAGAGGATGGATTTTAAAACATTAAAAAATATTGAGAGTTTTCCTTTCCCTCACACACTGCAGGTTTTGCACTCCAAGCCAAGCATCGGCAGTAAGATTGGGGCTGGATGAGAGTACACCTTTCTTTTGTATCCTGGGGGAAGGGAGCTTGGGGAGGGGAGGTGGGAAGCAAAGCTGACAGGACTCCTCAGTCTCAGCAGCTTTAGGCAAGTACATATGGAAATTGAAGATCTGGGGAAAAATCAATCACTTCACTCCATTCGCGCCTGTGTGCCCCATCTAAAGTCTTTGTGGACCACCAGGACACACATCTCCCTCACTTGGAGACCCCTGATGTTTCAGAAGATCATCTGGTCCCTGGGCACCTCTGCAGGAATTCTGTGGCTACCACCAAAGGGTCACTTTTGTGGGTCTCTCTGAATAGCTGGATATAGTTGGAACTTTGTGATGAGAATTATAGGAAGTAACTAGACAGATGTGCATAGGAGGGCTCCAGACAGTGGGGCATTTGCCTTGAGGAGGTTTACAAAAAGGGCCCCATGAGGCTCCCAGCAGTGCAGTGGGTATGTGTCCAGGAAAGGCTGGCTGACCAGCTGGTGAGCAGGTAAGAGGCTTCATGATGGCCTTTAGCACTTTAGAGATTACTTTAGAGTCAGACCTTCTGCCTTAGAGGCTCAAAACACCAGTGTGACAGCATGTGGAGAGTGAGTATATAATCCACATGGCTAAGTTATAAAGTCTAGATGTCAATGTGCTGATTTACAAGGAGAAACCATTTGCATGAGGACTGACGCCAAAATCTATAGGCAGATCTACTTGGAAAGCCCCAGATAGCATGTTTTTGGAATCCAGAAAATTATACCTTGCTGCTTGATAATGCCAAGAACTGCAAGAGGTCTAAGACTTAATGACAGTGGTGTAAAGTGTTCCCTTCTCAGGGACACCTGAGAGTGTACCAACCAGGTTGGCCTGGAGTTGCCACTAAGGGAAAGAAAGATGTATCATGCCCAGAAATGATCAGGGTGGAATCCTGAATTTTCAAAATAGGTTCTATAGCTCCCCACCCTTATTGTCCTGATCATCACCCAGGAGGTGACCAAGAGGAGATGACCTTTTCTGGAGAAGGTTGCATTCATTAACCATACTAAGTTGTGTGGACTAGGAGGAAGTCAAGGAGATAAAGTAAAAAATCTTTTTGAGTTGATTCTTAAAAAATTCTTTTGAGTTGACTTTTGAAAGGTCTTCCCAATGTTCAACAAATCAGATGTCTGCAGATGGTGGGGAGTGTGGAATGTCCATTAAATACCTTGACTAGTGGCCCCAAGTGTGGCCTTTGTGTTGCCCTTCTCCCCAAGTCCTACAGAGGTGATGTGGACCAGATGGATGTCACACATGTAGTGAGCTGCATTACAGCTCTGAGTTCAGGGAACTTACCTCTTTTATAGCAAGCAGTAAGAGAGTTTGCTCTTTGTTCTGAAGGGAGGCATTACTACGTTGTTCAAGGTTGCTTTCTGCAAAATCACCCTGGGAAATGGTCTGGATGAAGAGTTGTTAGAGCCTTGAATTCTTGGCATACCCAGCAAGATGCATGGGAGTGCAAGACACTCATGGAAGAGTCTCTGAGCAGATATGCCCTGGGCAGTGATCAGGTTGGTCACACGCATGTCAATGACCAACATTTAAAAAAACCAAGCAAAGCTCATCAAAGAATTCCAATTAAAGAAGAGGATCTCCTGAAATAAGAAAAATTGCTCCCTTAACTCATTCTTCCTTTTTAGTAGCATCTTCCTAGTGTTTCAACCACAAAATAAGGCATGACTTTTTCTTTAGGATCTATTTCCTAAAATAATAAAAGCTGTCTTTCATAGTCCTCTGATGACTTAATTTCCTTTTCCTCTTAGATATTCTCCTGAAAGGAAACAGAACATGGTTATTATCTGTGAGCAACAAATTATCACCACAACATGCTTCATTATATTTATTCCACAGACATTGGGAGTGACTACCACATGCTAGATACTGGAGATACATGGATGACTGGATAGTTAAGACCCAGTCCCTGCTCTCAAAGATATATCTATCTCCTAGAATTATTTTTTTTAAATATTTTATTTATTTACTTGACAGAGAGAAACACAGTGAGAGAGGGAACACAGCAGGGGGAGTGGGAGAGGGAGAAGCAGGCTTCCGTGGAGCAGGGAGCCCGATGCGGGGCTCGATCCCAGGACCCTGGGACCGTGACCTGAGCTGAAGGCAGACGCTTAATGCCTGAGCCACCCAGGCGCCCTCAAATCAGGGTCTTAAAAGAAATTAAGAGGGGCGCCTGGGTGGCTCAGGCGTTGAGTGTCTGCCTTCAGCTCAGGTCACGATCCCAGGGTCCTGGGATCGAGCCCTGCATCGGGCTCCCTGCTCGGCGGGAGGCCTGCTTCTCCCTCTCCCACTCCCCCTGCTTGTGTTCCCTCTCTCGCTCTCTCTGTCAAATAAATAAAATCTTTAAAAAGTGAAAAAAGAAAAAAAAGAAAGAACGAAATTAAGAGGCAGGATGTGAGACTTGGCCACGATACCAGCCAGGAATGGAGGCTTTGCAATGGGACAGAACAAAGCTGACCCTCTCAGAAACAGAGACTAGAGAAGCATATTCTAGCAATATTCCTCTCCCTGGAGTCCATTTTCACTGTGGCTCAGTTGCACTCCCTTGTTCCAGTGAATCTAAAAGTAACCCCAGTATCCTTTTAATAAATTCCTCTCTTCTGCCCTAGGCGGTTTGTACTGGCTCTCAGTTACTGGCAGTCAGAAGGTCCGATTACCATAAGGAACAGAGACAGGCATGGGGAGACAAACTTACCCAGCTTCTCTGTGGCTTCCACACAAACACTAGGATACATGCCTTCAGTGTAAGTTGCCACCAGAAGATACAGATGGGTCTTCACAACAACCACACCAGTGTTTTCCTGGATAAGAGTAAAACAAGAATGTCCTTGTTTTGGTTCTAGTCACAGGACTAGCAGTTACACTCCAACCACAATTTGTGCCATTTCTTTACTTCCATACACGCATATCTAGTTCTGGACTCTTCACCCTTTTCCACTAATTTAGTTGTCTTTGCTCAAAAAATTTCAGACTTGTAATAACAGCATGTGTAGGCTGAAAAAGTTCCCCAGCTGATTGTAATATACCCCTATCCCATTGAGAATGACTGATTTAATAGGGGCATCTGGGTGGCTCCTGGATGACTCAGTCCATGAAGTGTCAGCCTTCAGCTCAGGTCATGATCCCAGAGTCCTGGGATTGAGCCCTGTGTCAGGCTCCCTGCTCAGTGGGAGTCCAGCGGGAGTCTGCTTCTCCTTCTCCTCCCTGCTCATGCTCTCTCTCACTAGCTGTCTCTCGCTCTCTCTCAAATAAATAAATAAAATCTTTTTTAAAAATGAGAAGGTAATACATTTTGGAATTGGACAGCTTTGGGCTTGAATCCCAGAACCTTCATTTTCTGCTGCATGGCTAAGGAAGAGTTATTTAACCTTGTGAACTCTGTTTCCTCGATCCAGTAAAATGAGGCTACTTACTTTATAAGGCAGATGAAGTGTGCTTAACCCATAAGATAAGGCATCCAGTAAATCTGAATTTCATCTCCTTATTTCCTTATAAGCAACAGAGAGCCAAGAGAGGTTTTAAGCAAAAGAATTTTTTTTTTTTTTAAAGGAGGAGGGTGTAGAGTATGGAATAGTTAAAAGAGATACTTCAGGTAAGTTACAGTTGATAGATTCTGGAATGAATGTTTCTCAACTAGGTTCTCTGTTTGTACTTTCTTTTACATATGTCTTCTTAGCATTAGACTGCTGTCTCAGATATTGCTACTGTAGTAATGGGCTTAGATCGTTTTATAAATGGGATCAGGAGGGACACGGCAAATTGTAATAAAATTCTTTTCATAAGGTTTTTTACCTAGCTGTCTTCAAATCTTGCACACTCACATTCTTAGCATAAAGAGAATAGTCATCTGCCCGGATACATTTGTAGTCCTTTTCCTTGAAATACAATCCTTCTCTTCTGGTTTGCAAAGGGTTCTTGGCGAATCCATTCACAAGTGTTCGGACATCACCAGGCATTATCTGCAGAAGTTAAAGAGAGTAGGAGTGGGCAAACTATGGCAGGCTGGCCAAATTTGGCCCACTGTCTGTTTTTGTAGTCCTGCAAGCTAAGAATAGCTTTTACATTTTTAAGTCATTGGGAAAAAATAATAGAATAAGATTTTGTGATATGTAAAAATTGCATGAAATTCACATTTCAGTGTTCGTACATAAAGATTTGTTGGAACATAGTCACATCCATTCTTTTATGTATTGTCTATGCCCATTTTCCCACTAAAACTGCATAGTAGCTGTGTAGTTGTGACAGAGGCCATATAGCTCAGAAACCTAAAATACTTACTATGGCTCTTTACAGAGAAAGTTTGTTAAAATGCTTATGCCCAAGCTTGCTTTTCCTTACACTAAATCCTGGTGATGCTACACACAAGCTTCGTTCTTGGAGTTTGATGAGGGCTGCACTGTCCACATGCTTTGTTCCCAGGAGGGTATCTAACAGTAAGTTCTGCAAATGGCTCATGCTCCCTCAGCTCTGAAAAGAACTACAGTTGAAACGATTCACTCTGGCTAGCTTCAAAAAGGCCCGCGAATACAAATCTCCCTAAGACACTTGGGACAGTTTTCAGCGCGTGCACTTTGGAAGGAGTGAAAATGAAGAGTGAAAATGGACCATCATCTAATACCCACCAATACTCAAAGAGGAAAATAGAATCATAGAAAATCACAGTTCACATAGCAGGTTATTGAATTTGGAAAATCACTGCTCACAACTTTCAGGTTATACCAATGGTTCGCATCAGAATCACCTGAGATTATAAACTAAAACCCAAACACCTGCGGGACGCAGCGCCACTTATCTAAGTAAACAAGGGTAAATGAGCTCAGCTGGTCCTTATCCCCCCCCCCCCCGCATCCCCGCGAACTACGGGCACTGATACCGAGGGACTAAATACACCTTTCGTGCGTTTAAAGCGGGCTTTTCCCCACATTTTCTTGGGCCGTCCTCATAAGGACAACCTCCACAAACACCCGTCCTTCTAAGGGATCCTGAAGGCAGGCGCCCTTTCCGGCCACTCCCTGCGCAGTGGTTTAGCCCGGGGTGGGGGGGTTCCCTGAAAAGGGACTGGAGGCGAGGGAGGGGGGTCGTGTTGGCTGGGAAGGCTCACAGAGGGCTTGGGGGAGGGCGATGGCGCAGGCGAGAGCACAAGGCACAGGACAGTCCGGGAAGGAGCGCTTCGCTGGACCAACGGAGGGCTCGCGGAGCAGCCACCCATCAACGGACGCGGGAGAAGGCGGGGCGGAGAGGCGACTTGCCTAGCTATTGGCTGAAACATCTGCCCGTCACCGAGAAGCGCTGAGTTTGGTTCGCTAACCACGACCCGCCCACCAGCGCCCGCACCCTAGGCGCTCAGGTTACTTCTCCGCGGGACTGGGCTCGGGAGCAAAGTTGCTCGGGGCTCGGGACGCAGTGTCGGCTGGTAGAATTCTGACTCGACGTCTGTCGCGGCGCAGGGGTTGTTGGGGGCTGCGTCAAGGAGACACTAGACTGGAACGTTCTGTCTTTCCGAGGCGACGGGCCCGAGCTGGCGGGGCCGCACTCCCCGGTGGCAGCCGACCACTGCAGGGCCGTTGGCCGAGGGGTCGCTGCAGGGAGCCCAAGGCCCAGCCAGTCTTGGGAAGGGAGCTGAGGTACCTGTGGCGGTCTGCAACTTTCCTGCCAGGCCCGGCGGAGCACGCGCTAATCTTGTTGACAAGATGGGAGGGAAGGGACGGGGTGGTGGGTGCTGTAGGTGTGTAACGGGCGCGGGCGCAAGTTCCCCCTCGGAAAACGTGTGTGTGTGTGTGTTGGGGTTGCTTTGGGCGTCCTAGAGTGTGTGTGTGTGTGTGTGTGTGTGTGTGTGTGTGTGTGTGTGTGTG